AAAACTAGCCCGCCTGGTACAGGGCTCAGTGCAGATTTTTATTACTGGGAATAAAGAGGAAAAGGTCTCTTACAGCTGCATCCCATCAGAGCTCTGACTCCCACCCAGCTCTGAGTGGACCTCAGCCCCAGTTCTCTCCCAGTTCCCCCTCTATGCAGCCCAGTGGCTCCCGACCGCTGGTTCAAAAATCCAGCTCACATCCCAATGATTTTAGGCTTTCTGAAATCTTAGGATTAACTATTACAGGAGATCGCATCATAACTTTCCCACCATCCCAAAAGCTAAACATTCACTTAAAGGTATATCTCATTTAAAATCACAGCGCTGCTTCACCAGCAGGATTAACGGATTGGACATGAACGCCAGATGCTACCTTAAGAATTAAGGGCAAAATCTGAGCTCAAGTTCTCTTAAAACATCTGTGCAAATAGAGGTAACATATTTCTTGCATGAGCTTTAACGCTAACGGCAGAGGTTGCTGCGGTATGGTTTGGGGGCCCAGGAGGGTCGAATTCAGGGAGGAACATGGGATAAGAATGCAGCCCACCAAGTGTTTGTGGCATGCAGACGTGGGGCTGGGGCTATATTGCATCTCTTCCTCATTTACATGGGCACAAGATCATGAGCTCTGTGCATAATCCAGGGGAAACTAATCGCAGCTCTGTCCGTGGGCACTCACAGTGCTCCCTGTCTGTAAAAGCAATTTAAAACAACCAACCAACACAGAAACATGATTCAGAGTTCATTCACTGTAAACTAATGCGATCCTGGTTGCTCTAATGGAGTTACTCCAAAGATGTCATTTAGGCAGAGCCCATCGGATAAATCTCATCTTTTCCTTCCCAGTAAGGTGGGTGGATGCTGCTGGCCCCAAACTAAAAATGTAGGTGACAGAAGCCAAGGAAAAGGTAAACAGGAGCTGGCTGCAACCTGAATGGCTCTAGGAAGGTGCTGCTCAGAGAGTAACTGAATTATAAACTTAAACCTAGTTTTCTATTTAAGAAAACACACCAAAATACAGTAGAACGTCTCAGAGACAGCTAGATGGTAAATAGGAAAACATCTAGAGGCAGAGAAGCCCCACACTGCCTAAAACTCTTCCTCAACATGAGGAAATAGCACTGACTCTGAGCTCTGGACTTCTGCTGCCATTAATCAGCAGAGTTCAACTGGATAGCATGGTTTATGACGGAGCAGACCTCAAAGATCACCCAGTTTCAACCCCTCTGCCATGGGTTGGCTGCCTCCCACCAGACTAGGCTGCCCAGGGCCCATCCATGGCCTTGCATGCCACCAGAGATAGGGCAAACGCAGTGCCTCCTGTTCCAGTGAATGGTGGATCTGGCGTGGAAACATGCTGGGAAAAAAACACGTGGTCTCAATGCATCAGGCCAACTTGTAAAGAAACTGCAAACTGAAATTGCATTCATTGGTTCCCATCAAATCTGAGAGGTGAGAACTCTGAAGGCAACCAAAGAACCAAAGCGCAGTCTGGGATGCAGCTTCTAAGTGCCTCAAAAAGCAGCAAATGAATTTCTCTGAAGCATTATAAATTACGGCCTGAAAATAAAAAGTAGTGCCTGTGAAACAGCTACAGTTCACAAGAAACGTTTATTAATATCTACTGCAACAAGTCAGCATCTCTCAGTAGGAAATATCCAACATGGAATAAATTTTAAAAAATTAATAGCAAAGGGAAAGCACACACAAACACACTGAAAGAATTGTAATGATTGCCCGCAGTGAATGGTGGGTATAGTAAGTTGTGTGCAGATGCACAGTTAACTTCTGAACCACCCAGCTCTTGTAGGAGCACTAAGGAGGTTAAGAAATGAGGAAGAAATGGGTGAGCAGTTGTTTTCTAAGTGCATCTGGAATCAAACCTGCTCAGACATACCTGGCTTGGGACAATATTGGGACAAATTTCTACTCTGAGTCACTGCATGCGTAGCCTGTAACTAAAGCACAAACGCAATAGGGACAGAGATGAATTATAGAACCACTGAAGTTGGAAAAGCCCTTTGAGATGCCCAGCCCCAACCCACCCCACCATGCCTACTGATCACATTCCTCAGTGCCACATCTCATAGTTCTTAACACCTCCAGGGATGGTGACCCCACCACCCCCTGGGCAGCAGTGCCAGTGCACAACTGTCCTTTTGGAGAAGAAATTACTCCCACTGTCCAACTCAAGGCTGGTGGTAGCGTGAGGAATGGCAGCAGCATGGCTGCAGCACAGCTTACAGAACATTACGTTTTTAAAATCAAAAATCTGATTTTATTTTCATTATTTATATTCCTGATCTACTTTGCCCAGATGAGCTTTGTTTTCGTTTTTTTTTTTTTTTTTCCTTTTCTCCTGATTCTGCTTCAGCTTCACTCCACCAGCCACAATTTCACATTCCCATTCCTGGGCACCAGCCCCAGCCCCATCTGCTTTCCCTTCTTCACACTCCCGAGCACACACAGGTGTTCCACACGGCAACCTTCACTGCAAGACAACAAGGAAAATCCCCCATCTGCTTTGCAAGCATTTCTGTAATTAGCTTTCCAAACTCCCTTGTTACAAAAGCCATCCTGAAAGCAGGAACCAAGCTTCCCCACCTGCCTGCCCGAAATCACAGCCATCCCAATGTTGTGCTCCAGCACTAGAAGATCTGTGGCTATACCTGCATGTCAGTCACTTCGCAAGAGATGGGAACTCCCACTGCTGAACCACGAACCTGAGCTTGGCTGGCAGATGGGAACAAAGGGCATTTCACAGAGAAAAGCAAGAGCTGAGGAGCGCAGGGTGAGGGAAGCACGGACTTCGGGTGCCAACCGAGCCAGTTTCTGTTGACATTAAACAGGAAGCTCGGGATTAAACTCTTGATTAGCTGTATTGAGCCAACACAGAGAGCCAAAATAAGCGGAACTAAAAACACATGTGGATGTACAGCATATTTTTAGACAAGTCACAATTTGCAAAGTTCTCTCCCTCGCCGTGCCTAATTGCTTGCCATTCAGCAGGAGATGCTGCTGGGTGCTGCACCTGCACCTCTCCCTGCACTCTGTGAGTGCTCAGCAGCTCCGGATGATACCAGAAGAATGGCTGTTTGGGAACAGGTTTTTCCACGGCACGCTTCAATATTTTAACAGCAATATTTATACTCTGAGATGACAAACGATGATTAGTTCAAAGCCTCCCGCTGCACTTGTCAGGGTATGGTCTGAATAAAGCCAGATTAGCAGCAAAGGCTTTCTGATAAAGCTCCTCACATCTGATACATGCTGGTTACGGAGCAGAACGCAAGCAAATAAAGTTTGCCAAAGCAACGGGAGCCGCACACATCCACACCTCCGTGTGCTCCAGCGCAGAGCCCCGAGCCACAAATTGCAACACTGCAGCAGAACAGAGCCAGCACACGTTGCTCATGCAATAAGGAATGAACCAACTGCAAGCCCCAGCTCAGAGCTGGATCCATAGCAGCACCCAACAAACAGCTCGGCCTTGTCCATAGCACGGAGCTGCAGCGTGAACTGGAGCGTTGGACACAGATCACATACATCATTTTGCACAAAGTACATTTTTTTTTCAGCATCCAAGTGTATTTATAGACACCTGCACTGAGGGCTGGTTTGGAATAACACGCAGGATGTTGTTGGGAATGTTGGGTTTGCCCCAAAGCGATGTCAGGGCGACCAGCAAGCGCTGCAAAGAGCTGCGCTTCAGAAAATATAATAAAAACTAGGGAAAAAAATCAGGTTTGATGCAAGCAGAGGCTCTACCAAATAGGAGAGCAGAGCCAAGTCCCACAGCAACCCCGCTGGCACCGCCACGCTCTGTAACCACTCGAGAACATAAATCACAGGAGGTTTTTTTTCCAACGAAGGCACACAGAACTCAACCTATTATGAATCACGGAATGTTTTTATGAATCACGAACAAAGCAGCAAAGTTCCTCCAGCCTTATCGAAGCCGTGCTGCCACTTGGGGCTGTGATGGAAAGCAGGTCCCAGCACGGATTGCAGCCCATTTCCCAGCCACGCACGTAGGAAGGTGCCAGGGGGCACCAAGCAGCATTCCTTGCTGCTGCTCTGGCCCTAGTGCATGCACAGAGCTGGCTGCACCCTGCCCTCCCAGCACAGCTCTGCTGCACCCAGCATCCATGGGGAGCAGGGGCACCCAGTGATGGGCACAGCACGAATCGGCACTTCATGGTCCAAATGTTAGCAACAGCAAAACATTATGTTCAAGGGAAAAAAAAAATAAAAAAAAATCAGCTCCATACATACATACATAACTTGGGGCTGCTGTGGGCTGACAGCTTGGGAATAACCAGGAAAGGACCTCGCAGGGTCTCAACGCCCAAATCCTGCTCTGCGCCACACAACATGCACACAAAGTACATAACATCCCACCCACAGCCCTCCATAAATAAACCCACGTAGGAGATCCAGGACTGGAGAAATAAGTAAGTTTGCTTCCAATTATATATCTTTTAAAAAAGAGCAAATAATGTCAGTAATAACAGAAGGTAACACAATACAACACCAGACAGCAAAGAACTCAGCTTTGACCACTGCCTGTGTCACAAGTGCTACACCCAAGCTGTGTATTTGCTCCAACCCATCATATATATATATATATATATATATATATATATATATATATATATATATATACACACACACACATGGATTCCTGCTTGGAGCAGGGTTTGGAGATAAGCCTGAGCTGGGAAGGAGATTCCTGAGCTGCAGTCATCGCTTATGAAAGCCCAATGCCTGCACAACACAACACACAAACACAGTTTGACAACAATCAGCCGCTCAGCACCACGGAGCCCCGGCGTTCCGCTCCTGTGATTAAACTTTAATGGTCACAACTCTCTGCTTATTGCTCCCTGATGTGAAAATCAGCTCCATGCACATCTTTCGCTTTCATTTCTTGGCGAAATTTGGTGTTTTTATTAATACATAAACATGTGCGGTTTTTTTTGTGTGTGTGGGGGGGGGGGGGGGGGAGATTTTTCCACTTCCAAATGAAGTACCGTCACCGACCCCACAGCCACACACCTCCTGCCTGCTGCTCCAGCACCCGATGCACAGCCCTGGGGTGGCTGCATGCCTCCAGCCCGGCACGCTCCCGGTCCCGTAAGCTGATCCCAGCCCCACCTGTCCCCCTAAGGACCAGGCAGGGGCTTTTTTTAGCTGCTCCTAAGCCTGGCAGCAGCCCCCTCCTGCTTAAGCTGCAGAGGGAACCATGCTTCTGGCTGAGCCGTGTGGGATTCCACCTGCTCCGGGGCACAGGTCTGCGCTATCTCTGCTGACAACAAATATTCCGAGCGGCTGGGCTGCTTTTGCAGTTCAAGTGATGTGGGATTGACAAGGGCTTGCCCTAAGCCAGGAGATGCACTCAGCAGCACTTCTTGAGCTGCAACGGCGTCTCCTTTTAGGATGCTCCTGCACCCAGATCTGCGGTGTCAACCCCAGGAAGATGCCACAGAGCTGCCTACACGGAAACAGAACCCCAGTCGTGCAGGATGGAGCACCCACAGGATTTGAGGCATGCTGGGCAGACAGACAACGCAGTAGCACAGGGGTAAATAAAGGCTTTCTGCATAGCGGCGTGCAAGTTTCCGAGCAAGAATATCATAGAAACAATGAACCCCACGCTGTGAAATACCCCATGAGCCGGGGACAGGGGGGACAGGGGCATTAGAGGCTCAGAGGGAAAACTTCCCCAGCATTCCCAATCACAAAGAATGCAAAGGACAACAAAAAGCAGCACTGAAGGAGGAAACCCGCTTTACAGAAAGGTTCAGTGCTTCCCAGAGAAGCATGCACCTCAGACACAAGATTCTAAGAACTCCACAGTTACACCCTTCTGTCTGCAACAGAGGGAGATTTTAATGCAAACCTAAAGATAATTATCATGCTTTATGGATCTGTGCTTTTACATAGGCAGGAAGAGTCACCACAACTGCATGGCTGGCCAGAAACCCCCCAGTGCTTCCAACCTCTGCTTCAAGTTATTTCTTCCCCTGGGACATCACTGGCAGAGATCTCAGTCCTTATGGGGGGACCTCAGCCCTCCAATCTCTCCAAGTTCCCCAGCCCTCAGCAGTGGCATCCATCCCTGAGAAGCCCAACACTGCCACGCACTCAACCCCAGTTCCCAATGCGATGCACACCTCTGTACTCCTCCGCACAGCTTCCAAAAGCACACCCAGCAGCACTGCAAACACTCTCACCAAGAAATTTAAGGGCTGACACTTTCTCACTGCAGCACATGGGACTAGTGGTGGGCAAGAGGAGACAGAGGTGGGGAAAAATCCCAGCCAGGAGCTTGACCCCTGTCACGAGCGTTGTTCTGTTCCAGCCAAAACATGCCAGTTCCGACAGCAGTAATGCTGAAGAAGGGGCTTATGAGCTTTTATTAGATTTCTGCCTCACTGTGAACCAACAGTCACAATTTCCATCCGATATGATGTCACACGAGTTAAGTTTTACAAAGGAATTTGCTCTCCTGTGAATTCTTTGGCAAGATGCTGTGACACAAAGTTCTGCCCAACAATAAGAGCACAACCTCACCCACACAAGCGCACCTGAACCCATTTCCCTAGAATGCTGTTGGCTGGGAGGTGACACCACTCTGCTTCCTATCAGCTGTGGGTTAATTTGGCAGCACCTGTGCATTAAGACTGCTGAGCCCAGAGCAATGCTCCAGAGCAAGCTGCTGCCAGAGCCCGGGGAGAGGCCTCACCCTCCTTTAGCCCCCAAAGTTTTGAAAGGAGATAATCTACTTTGTGGGAACAGCTCTGCCTCAGATATGAGGATATGGAATGGATACTTCACTTTTTTTAATTACAGAACTATCCTCCACGTTTATTGGCTATAGGGCCGAAGCATTGCTGTGCACAGCTCCTGCTCGTTTCCTTCTCCCTTCAATACACACACGGCCCTTCTTGCAAAAGCATAAAGCAGAAATCTCTCTGCGCAACTTTACGTGAACCCAGCTGAAACAAGGGGAAGCTCAAGGCCATAAAAAAAAAAAACAACCCATGGGCTTTTCCCTCCAAGATTTCTCTTCCTTACAGATTAAGGCAACGTCCTGAGGAGGGTTGTGCAATTCCTCCTAATGACACCGCTCACCGGGTGGTGGAAAGCGGCGATCTCAGATGCACACGGGTTTCTTTGGTTAACTGAAAGGAGATCAATACTAACAGTATTAATAAATAATGCTTTTAATAGCGGCGGCAGGATGCAGGCAGTGAGCTGCAGGCAGGTACCAGGGTAGAGGTAAAAAGCATTAATTATCTGCACAATGTCAATGCTGCTGAGCTGACGTGCGGAGCACAGCTAAAAGCTCACTTCTGAAGATCACCGAGACAGACTGACAACTCTCAGCTTTCACACAAGCATTTCGGGTAAAATTCAATTTTCCCGTATGTCACAACTGAAAGGAACAGACTGCTCTTTCTTATTTAACATTAATAAACTGGATAAAGGACACAGGAGACGGGGGAAGATGCAGAGCTTTGCACTCCCTCCTCCTTCCCTGCCTGCAAGTTGCAAAAGAACAAAAGCAAAGGGGAGTTTTTAGGAGCAATGTGTGTGCCCTCCCCAAACTCCGACCCGCTCCATTTTTCTGCCACGAGAAAGCACACATGCACTCTGAGCTCTTATATAAACAGCAAAAGGGTCAGCGCCTGTCTGAAATTCCCCACCGCGTCTCAAATAAATACGAGGTCGCCTATAAACTTCTCTCCCTCCCACCCGGACTGGGAGAGAAGCGAAGTTGAAGGGTTTCTCCCTGTTCTGCGGGTGGCAACTCGGTGCTGTCCCCATCCCTGTGACACCGGAGCACCTCATCCCACTGCCCCATACCACAGCTGAGACCTCACCGTGTTCCTCCCCAGGGCAGGGGGTTATACATGGGGGGTGATGCACACTGACGTGTCCCACTCTTGCAGCGAGGGGGTGCAGACCCACATCCTCCTCCTGGGAATGGGAACCAGGGCAGTGCAGAGAGGGAACCGCAGGGACCCCAGGGCTCCAAGCATCCCTGGGCACTAGGATGCAGAACCCTGGTGAAGTGCTCCGGGCACGGGAAGGGGCTCCGGGAGTGGGATGGGGATGGTGCGGGGTGCGGTGCCCCTCGGGGAAAGGATATGGGTTACAGACCAGCCTGAGGCACCAGCTGCGCGGGCGGGTGGTTTGCTTGAGGCAGAAGAAAGCGGTGGGTGCCAGAGCCGGGTAAGGCACCTGCTCCTCCTCCTCGGAGGCCAGGTCGGGCGGCGGGTCGCGGCTGGGAGAACCGCTGGGAACGGAGCCGGCATCGTCCAGGGGCTGCTCGGCGGGGCGGCGGGGCGGCACGGTGATGGGCACCCGCACCTCGCCGCCGGCCGGGCGCGGCTCTCGGCTCTCGCCATCACTCATGGTAGCAGCCAGGACCTGCGGGGCAAGGGCAGGGGGTGAGGGGCTGCAGCCCCCTCGCAGCGCCGGGCGCGGCTCCCACCTGGCCCCGCCGCTTCGGCCGCAACAAAGCCGGGCGGTGTGGGGCGAGGAGCCGCCTCCGGGCGCGGCCGCTCCCACCCTCGAGAAGGGAAGCTGGATGTCCGTGCCCCCACCCCGCCATCACCCTCCTCTGGGGTGCTCCCACCCATCCTTTAGATTTTCAGGGATGGAATATTGCTGGGAAGGGGGTGGGGTCCTACCTTAGTTCGGCGGAGCTCGGTGTCCCCAGGAGCATAGCCGTGCCGTGCGGTTCACATGGGACCAGGCTGCAATCGGGGCAAAGGAAGGCGGACGACCCCCCCCTCCATACACAGCTCCCCAACGACAACGTATATCCAACGGAGGCGGGGGGGAGACCGGGGCTCGGCGTGCAGCGTCCGCCCTCGGGGATGGAGGAAGGCTGGGGAGGAGGAGGAGAAGAGGTGGCGGGGGCGGGGGCCCTTCCCGAGCCGATCGGAGCCGAGCGGAGTCTCTCCCGACGGTAATCCCAAGGAGCGAGCGGGCGGCTCCGCAACCGCTTTGCAAAGCTTCGCCCGTGCTTAACAGGAAACTTCGGATTTACCGGGGGAGGAGGGAAAGAAGAGGGGAGGAGAGAGAAGCGGAGGCGGAGGGGGCTGGGAGCCCGGCGGGGCAGGGCGGGGGCGGGCGGCCGGGAGGAGCCGGGGCAGCCCCGGGGGGTCGGCTGCATGTTTTCCCCCGGACGGCTGCGCTGCGTTCCCTGTACCTTTGTTCAGGCTCCGGGCGATGCGTGGCGAAGGAAGATTGCCCCCCCTATCCTCTCGGGCTGCCACGCTCACGAGTAAGGGGAGGCGGACCCCTCCCCTAAAGGCCTTACAAATCTTTTCTTGGTTGGTTTTTGTTGTTTTTTTTTGGAGGGGACAGGGTTTGTTCCGCCTCCGCCGGGCTCCCCGTGAACGCGCACCCCAAAGGGGCGGATGCAGCCCCCCGTTTGTGCTTTTCTCTGAGCGCGGCGTTGTAGGTTTGCACCCAACCCCACTCCCATGGGGGTCCCGCAGCCCCCCCCGAGTGCCACGGGGGCATTAATTCATTAGTCTGAATAAATAAATGGATAAGCCCAAGTTAGAGGTCGGAGCGTTTTAATAAATAAAGATCAGCTCTTAAACAGCAGTGATTTTTAGCTGAGTAGCTAATCTTCTCAAGGGCTTAGCTCGGAGGGATCAGAATAAACAGATAATAGAAAGTCCGTTACAGGCACTGTCCCCTCAAAACTCTGCTTAGGAAGTTTGATTCTTCTAAGTTATTTCAAATTTGGTAAATTATATCCGTCTGTAGCGCAGGTGGAAAGAGGGGAAAGGGAGATTAAGAATGTTAGCTTGATGCATTCCCTTCCACTGGCATCTTTTGAAGAGTGAGCTCAGTCCATACCCCCACATTCAATTTGCAAATGCAGTTCCCAATGCTATTCTTCATGGTTAATAACTGGGAATTGATTGAAAAGGGAGGTCATGCCGCTCTCCGAGCAGAAAGCACAGAGCCTAATGGGGCCAGTGAGGAGATGGTTTTACACACGCGCGTTTGGTGGTTGTTTTATTACATGTTTGCAGGTTGTGATTAACAGTATGTGGCCATTTTATTATTGAACAAACAATGCCTCTGACAAGCAGGACACGGGCCTGCAAAGCGATGGTGTGAAGGAGAGATTGCGCTTGGAGTTTCCATGCTGGATAATTAGGGCAAATCATAATTTACTGTAGGAAGGGAAGATTTGTCTGCGAGTTGGTGTGGCTCTCCTTGAGCAACTTGAATTCCACTCGTAAATTACCTTGCTCAGGAAAATGACCTTTGAAGGAACAAAGGAGTTCTACTGTAGTGGGAAGAGGCCAAGCTTCTGCTGCCCAGGCCATAAACCAGGCACTGCCTCCCTCCAGCCCCATGTCAGAGAGCAGGATGCTGCTCCCCTGGCCAACAAATCCACCCTCAAAGCCGTTCCCCTGCAACTGTCCTTGTCTGGGCTGGGGCTGCGGGGAGCCTGGGCTGCAGACAGGCTTCCCATGGCCAGGCATCATATACTGAGCATGGCAATGTCAAGGTCTTAACCTGTTGTCTGATGGAGAGTATTTAAAGCCAAGAGCCTTATTAATAAACTCCATACAACGATGGCAACTGAGAGGGACTTTTATTGCAAGAACAGAGGATTCTGATGAAGCTTGGCAAAAAAATAGGCCCAAACCAATCCTCAGTGAGGATTTTGGCTCATCCTCCGAAAGATGAATTAACTCCAATGGTGGTCATTGCTGAAGAGAGACAACGTTTTGCTGGAAAAACACTCCCTCCCTCCCATGCTTCCTACTTAACCTACGTGTGGCAGTTGGAAGGAGCAGGGCAGATCCTGCTCCATTTACTCCAGATGGCTGCGCTGGCAGCAGGAGAGCTGCTGCAGTTCTACACCAGCTAGAAGGATCTGGCCACAGCACTGCTGTCATTAATAAGCCAGCAGAAATCTCAAGATCAATACTGATCTGAGGATGTATATACCCTGAATGGGCACTTGGCTTGCAATTTCACAGCTGCCCTAATGGGATGTGTAATGCTCTTAACTGGCCCTCATAGATCGTCCCCCACTGGCACGCACCTGGCTGTACTCCAGAGCACACATGAGGTGGGAAGGCTGGAGATGGGCACAGCTGCCCCAAAATCACACAGGCAGCAGCCACCCGGGCCAAGACAGCTCCCTCGGCTACAGCAGCCACAATGCTGCTGTAAATTAAACAGCAGATCTGCTCTGTCACAGCCTACTTGTGGATTGAGGGCATCTAACCTCACTCCCTTCGTCACCTTCATCATTTCATTTATTTAGTGCAAAGCAGCTATTTGCTGGTACAGACAAGATAGGACTTTGCAGAAAGATCCCCAAGTCTTCTCAAGTATTTTTCATAAAGCCAATTTTACGGACTGTTCCCCCTCCCACTTTTCCTACAGCCTCCCAAGGGCTGTAAACCCCCCAATGACCCTAAGGAGTGAGGGCTATCCTGGCTCTTGCTCCTCTGTATGACACGTCTGCACCCCACTGTGACTGCGACACAGAACCTCTTCCCGTAGAGTTGCAAGGATCAGCTGAAAAACAAAAAACAACCCCAACATCTGATTTAATTTTGGAGTATGATGCTATAGCATTTCCCAGGCTAACATGAGATCAGTGGGTCAGACCCACAGCAGAAAGCTGCTTTGTGTTTCTATGCCTTGTGAGCTGACCTCCCACGTGCGAAGTCTGATGGAGGTGCTGAATACTTTATGTAATAATTTTTTTTTTCCACTGGATCTCATTCTAGCTGACTCAAATCTGAGTTCTTCTGATTGCAGAAAAACCTTCAAACAAGGAACAATCTAGCTAATAGTGCTTGCATAAATCATTCTCAAAATAATGAGTATCTGTGGAGTGAATTCATTTAGCTAAATAGATGGAGGACCACTTTAAAGTTATTTAGAAAGATTAACAAAAGAGAAGGGAAATGAAAAACAGATAATAAATTGACGAGAGAAGGGGAAAAATTGTATTAGAAACAATGAATTTGTAATAAATTCAGAATGCTAAGGAAAAATTTCCAAAAAAGGAGATTGGCACTGTGGTAGTTTGGCTGTGCTGGTGCTAAAATGTATTTTTAATTAAAAATACATGGATGTTAAAATGCTTTTTAAAATAGATAGATAAATAGGTCCCCGGCCAGAGTTATATTTTTACTTTTATGATTTACAAACTCACCAGTAATTTGTCATTTCCTCAGCACCAGAAAACACTTCACCTCCTCCAGGGCTCCTTCTCCCATTGCACTCCCATCTCAGCCCTTCCCCTTCCTTTTCCATCAGTTCTGCTGTGCTCAGCCTCCATCCTGCCCTGTGCTCTGATGTCCACACCTCATCTCCCTGGCCTTCTGTTGAAAAGTGAGTTGCAAGGTGCTGCTATCCCCATAACAGCCCTGGAGGGCATCTTGCAAACATCTTGGGTTTTGCATTTTGCAGCCACAGGCTCTCAGTTGCCAGATTGGAGAAAGCCACCAGGATCACGCAATGAGTACAAAGGCTTCAAATCCCACCTAAACCCTGACCAGGACCAGCACGCTGTGATGCTTCCATTCCACCTCAGTTCCAATTATCCTCCAGAAATTTTCCATCCCTGTCAGCTTTCAGTGCCGTGTTAGAGCAGCACAAAGCTTCAAACCCTTCACCCACCTGCACTGCTACCGAGATGCAGCATTTCCAAATGCAAACGTATTCCAAATCCACATGTTTTGAACAGGCTCAAAACCTGCTTTGTGGCTTCTCTCTTTCTTCTGTTGTGTTTGCTGCTCTGATTTATTTAGTTCTCGTATCATGCTTAGTCTTGCTAAATATAAAAGCTGTTTAAAATAACTGTGCAAAATATTCTCCGAGTCCTTGAGGAAAAAAAAAATAAAATAAAAATACAGTGCCCAAATCTGCCTTCTCACGTTTTATGCTTTTAGCACATGTTGTAAATAGAATATTTCCATAAGAAATATTTGTTAAAAATAATTTCCACGTGAAGTTGATTCAAATCCAACAGCCCCAGCAGGGCAGAAGAGGAGCTACCAGGTTGGCAGTGACAGGCAGTGCTTTCTTGGAAAATGTCCCCAAAATAAGGGCACGATAATACACTGATGGCAGGGAGGAGTGGCACAGAGTGCCCAGATGTGGCAGTGCCCCATCCCTGCACACACCCACGGTCAGGCTGGATGGGGCTCTGAGCACTGATGGAGCTGTGGGTGTCCCTGCTCAGTGCATGGAGAGGGACCAGATGGCCTTTGGAGGTCCTTTCCAACCCAAACCATTCTCTGATTCAGTGAAAATTATTGGAAGGCAAACCTGAAATGGGAGAAGTTGGTCTCCGTGTTTGCCCTTTGCTTATGCCTTCTTCTCCACAGCACAGTGCTTACACACATACATGCACACATGCTTGGTGAGAGGGAGCCGACACCAAAAGCCCAGAGATACAGAGCATTGTCCCTGCAAAGAAAGAACAAAGTCAGGCTGGCTTGAGGCTTGCTGTCCCATTGCTCTGCCTTTACATACCTACTGGCAACTCTCCTCTTGGACCTGTGGTCAATTTGAACGCCATCCAGCATTCATCAGCACCTATGCTCTTCCCATCTGCATTTTGGATAACTTTGCTTGCTGCAGCAAGAGCGTTTCCTTCCACAGAGCTGAAATTTCATGTTCCTTAACGTCATTGATGACTCTGTAGCCTTATGCAGTGAGAATGAGAGGAGCTTTGCTTTTTCAGATGCCTGCTACATTCCCACTTGTTTATTAGATGGGCAAGACAAGACAAAAATAATGACTTTTCAGCCCGTTGCCAGTATCAAAAACACTTTTGGTGCAGATCTAAAACCTTAAAGGCTGCAAGAATCTGATATCTTGCAGACAATTTATTCTTCCACGCAGAAGACAACAGAAAATTAAAGGGAGATAAAGCACAATTTAACTAAAGAAGTACCTGAGTAGATTTAAAATGAATTAAAATGAATTTGTTCATTTAAATGACTTCACTGTAGGTCAGGCCCCATCAGAGGTAAAATTATTCTAATTGATTTTATTGTTGGTAAATGCATTTATGGTGTGACAGAATACTTGAAATCACTGAGGCAAACTGCTGATGGTACAGACTCACTAATTTAGTGGACAAAATGACCTTTCTTGCACTAAGAACCAAATCTTATGGGGAAAAAGTCTTTTAAATAGCTGCTAATAGTTTAAACGAATTACCCAAGCTGATGATGTCAAGGAGATGAATATATTAGGGGGTTTAACGTACACAGGGATATATACAGAATATGTATGGGCTGAATATATTAGAAGATGCTTTGCATGAGCAATAATTTAATTTGGGACCGTTACGCATCCACAGAGGGGAAGCAAACAGATGCCTTTTACACACACTAAGTGGTTTGACATTTCTCTTCCAGCCCTCAAAGACAACTGTTGGGCAGCAAACACAAGGTAAGGAAGTGTAACCAAAGAGGCAAAACACTGCAGTGCTGTGTGGGTTCAGACATCAAGCAGCAAAGCGCTCAGGGTCTGGGATGCATGCAGGTAGCACAAGCAGTGCCCACGCAGGACTCCAGCTGAATGCAACTAAATGCAAGAGGAAACTAGAACTAAGCAGCGCCTCACCCTGCTCCAGCTGTAATTTCCTCGTGCTATGAAACTCCTATGATGTTCTTTACACAATTTATTGTAAATCACTCATGGCTTGTTTAATGCTCTGCTGATTTTATCTTGATTTATTGCATTGCCGCCCTGCCTGGTGAGGCAGCAGCCATGACTTTACTGTCTTTAATCAAAGCCCAAACACCTGTAGTCTGCAATGGGTGTTCGTCCTCAGAGTACCTGCATGGTGCTCAGCATCCCATAAACTCACCTGCAATGGGGTCAGCACTGCTCTGCTCCTTCCTTCCACTGTCACCAAGATCCAGCACTGCATAGGCACAGAACATGAGCCCACGCACCCTTCTGCCAGCTCCTATTATTCTTCTGCCTTAATGCCATACATAAAACACCTATGGAGCTTGTGTTCCTCAGACTGCCTCCAAAGCTGAAATCAAGAGAACAAAACCATTAACAATCTTACAGAGACAATATCTTACCCGAGCAGTCTATCATCTGGCCTCACACAATAACCCTGTGACAGGAGCAGATCCAGGCTCCCCCATGCCTTAATGACAAAATGAACTTCTCCCTGGCTGGGCAGCAACGTGTGTTGGAAGGTGACAGCCCAAGATGGTGACATCCAAGTGGTCTCTGGCTCCAGGGAGGTCAGCAGAAGAGGCTCTATATGAAGCATGAGGCTCACAAAGAGTGTCAGAAGGTCAGGGGAGCATCTTTTTCTCCCTCTTTGTGGAGCAGCCAACTTTTACAAGACACAGAGAGCAGCTGCCTGAAAGAATCCTTTCATCACTTTAGACAGCGAACAAAGCCAAAAATAAATATTTCAGCTTCTGCAGTATTTAGAAAGACTTTATTGCTCCGAGGCCAAAATTTCAGCCTCTCAAAGTCTCTTTATTCAGCCCGGGTTAAATGAGTAACTGATTTAGAACTATTAGAAAATATTGGACCAAATGCACAGCGAAAGTATAAAGCGTTCCCATGAAACTCTGCTAACTCCTGTCTCCAAAAACTGAAATAAGTCCATGCAGCCAGTCCCCAAGGGCACAGCCCAGAGCTCTGCAGGCCCCATAGAAGTGCATGCCTTCACCATGCAGTGCCCTTGGCCCAGGGGTGTCCCTTGGTGGGACTGTGGGAGAGGGCTGCTGCAGGCTCCAGCTTTGCAAAGCAGAGAGCTGTGGGACACGAGGAGCACGCTGGCTATTTTAATCCCACACCGTAGACATCGAACAGCTGCACGTGCCGGGTGCAGGCTGGGTGCAGTCATGTCCTGGTTTGCAAACCTTGTCTGGGACACCTGGTCTGCTCCTCCCCTGCAATAGCATCTCAGGGCTGTGCAGGATGGACAGGCGGACACCCAGAGGATGCGGGGCTCTCTGTCCTGGTGGAGTGCACCGTCTGCTCATCACCTTCTCCAAAGCTTGCAAGACATAAAAAATCTGATCAGTAGTTGCTGGGGATAAGCACAAGGCAAAGTCAAAGTCAGTTTTACTCCCTGCAGCCCAAGGCTTCCCAGGCAGCTGCTGGCAGACTCTGCTACAAGGCTGGATGGGAATCATACATTGACCCATATATTGCACGTGGTCCCATCACACTGCTACCACCAGGGCTGGCTCCCACTCATGCCACAGGTAGGTCTGGAGATGCAGCTTCTAGCTAAAATCTCTGCAGCTGCCTCTTTGCTTTATGGCCAGCAGTACCAAAGTGAATAGGAATTGCTTAGGATAATCCTGAAAAGGAAGGGAGGTGTAAAATGTTTTTGCTGGGTAATTTAGAAGTGGATATTACAAAATGCTCCAGAGTCTCACCTATGGGGCAACGCACTGGCAGCTGTGCATAGATCAGTGCCTGAACTTTCCCATCATCTTTTTTCTGCGTGTTGTAGGTTTCCAACAGAAGCAGGTACACAAGCCTAAAGAGACAGCACATGCTTATAGAAGTGAAGCTCCTGTTAGATGTAACGGGAGCCAGGCAGCTCAGGCGGCATCAAAAAACCAAGCAAGAACACAAGTCTTCTGCAAACTAAAGGCAAATGAATGCAAGAAGTCCTACTCCATCCCACCTTTGCCCTTCCATTAACTCTGTATGTGAAAATGTTCTTATTTATAGACCTAGAGAGACAGGCAAGTAAATAAAAGTGCGAACAAGCTAGAAGCAATAGGTTAAATGCATCTGCAGGACAAAGAACAGCTCAGTGGACATGGCTAAACAGACATCAAGTGCACAGAAAAACTGCATTTCTGAATAACACGATTACAGTGCTGAGGGACTGCAGCTGGCTTCTGCTTGGGTGCTCTTCTATGGGCAGCCACCCCAATGTGCTGCAGGTGTCTGAGGGATGCTGTTGGCTTACATCCCACTGCACAGCTCTGCGCTGGGTGCCCCCAGCATGGTCATCTGTCCACCTGCTCTTCCGTAGCAGGAGCTGCTTCAGCCTTCTTATGCGGAGGAGGGAAGGAGATGCTGCTCTTGGAAAAGCAGGTGCTTTACAGAATTTCACCTGTTAAGGGAAATCCAGTTTGCTACAAAGCTGAGCATTGAAAAGAGGTGCTGATTTATAGGAGAAAAGTGGCAGCATGTGTTTTGTAAGGGGGGAGAAGGACGCTTGCTCAGCAGCCAAGATGCGCAAGGATTTGCTTTCACATCTGCTGCCACCTGGGTAATTCACGGGAATAAAGCCACCTCTTATCCTGCCTCAGTCTGTAGCTTGTCCCCATTTCGTCAATCAGGGTCCAACAGTTCATTCTCTCTTAGGCCATGCCCACACAGGGAGAAAAGCAGGGACATCCTAACTACTGCCTCAAGCCTGAAACTGAGCTGCTAGCAGGAGACTGAGCCCAAGTCACCTTGCCCTCACTGCTCCTTTAAGCAGTTCACATCACTCAGTATCCAGCCTGCCCTGAAAGTGCTCTTTTGCAAAGATGTTTCTATGAGTTAAGGCTTCCCTGGCCCTGGTGTTCTACAAGTCATACTTCAGCATTCCCAAGGTCTCATGGAAAACACCAGTGATCTGCTCCTCCAGCCTTGCTTATTGCAAGGGGATGTGCCAGTCAGTGACCCACCATTGCTGTTAACTGTTCCCTTGGAACGAGGCACACTTATTGTCTTAAATAACTCAGAAGAATATACTTCAAATCAGCGATTGTTCATTAGGATTTATTAGCCTGGACCCAAGGGCAGGCATGGAAGCTAATTAGAATTATTATTTTCAGGTGACATTTATGAGGAGCTCCCATGGATGTTTTCAGCCCTCCATTTTAAGGCTGAGGTGCAATTTCCAGGGTTATTTTCTGAGATTATTTAATAGGATGGTTCTTTTTAATAATATAGAGGGGCTATGGTAGGACAAGAAGGAAAACTAGGCCCCACTGAGTAATTCTGGGGGAATAAATAAACAAACAGACATTAATAACAGTGATTTATTGCACTAACGCTGCCAGAGAGCCAATTGCTGGCTTAGCACAACCACTTTGATGCTCCCAAATTCCTGAACTGATCACAGATGGAGGATACAGGGCTCAGAACCCACCACAGATTCATTTGTGTTATGTTTTGGGCTCTGTACCTGGTACGTGTGCCACTGCTGCTCCTCCCTTCTCTCCTTGCGCTGCTGCCTTGTTGCATCCTGCCCCAGTGCCACCAAGCAGCTGGTGAGAAGCAGGTCCCATCACTGGAGAGCTGCTTCTGGGCCAGGAGGTGGGTGCTTGGCTTGTCAGTCAACCCAGATGTTTCCATCCACACAAGCAACATGATGCTGAGTACATCCCTCTATGCAGGCACATCATCTTGCTTTGGTGCAGGGCTTTTTGGGGGTCGTAGCAGAACCCCCAGTAGGTACTTTCTCTGCTGAGGAGCCACTCACTGCCCTCAGTTTGTGGTAGGGAGAGAAGCTGAGAAGCAAATTAATGATGCAGAACCGACCTGCTCAGCAGCCGTTAGACCGCCTCCAAAGAGCTCACTGCTCTTAATGACACCTCCAGAGCTTTGCTGGGAAGGAATATGAAAGAAGAGCAAGAAAACAAGCTGGCCGTCTTCAGTGACTGCTTGATGCCAATGGACTCCACCTTGCTAAGCATTTTCAAACAACATTTGCAGCTGACTTAGTATTTGGAAACCCAAAGGACCTGGAAGTAGTTGAAAGAAATTTTTATTCATGAAGGTTGAAATGTTTTTGATTGGAGCCACCTCTGCACCCAGGACAATGAGCACCCAAACCAGCCCTGTCGGATTTGGGGTTTTTGGACTGTAAGTGCCTCAATACAGATCCTCAGTGCCTCAGTCAGGCAGAAGGAGAAAAATAAAAGTACACCCAAACACCAAAAATAGAGTCTGAGGGGAAGAAGTGAAACCAAATCAAAGCTTCCTTGTGTAGAGCAATGAATATCAGAGCTCTGCATTGCAGGACACACATTGTGTTCCAACTGTCTCCAATTTTGGAGGGGCCACTTCTCTCCATGCCTTGATTTCTCCCCTTTTGGAAAAAATGTGCTGAGGAGCGCCTGGAGGCCGCTGCTTGCAGGACTTTATGGGATCTCCATCTCCATATATTGTGTGCCCTCTGCTGGTAGCCTCTTTTTCCAGGAGCACAGCAAAACCCCACAGGAAAGGGCAGGAGGGACCCGGGTCTTCCCTACTTTTTTGCACAAGGAGGGTCAGATGTGGCACGAGAGAAAAAGCAGCAGCAGCAGCGACAGAAAAGGGAGTTTCCTGCTGCATATTTTGCCTTTCTTACGCTCTTTGGACCAGGATGGATCCTGCTGGAGCCCCAGCATCCCCGCAGTGCATCATCTGCTCTTGCCAAACAAACACTCTCCTAACGCAACCACGTCCCAGAGATAAATGGGAACTGAATTATAGAAGCTCCCAAGGTGGACTCAATGATCCTTATTGGTCCCTTCCATTTGTTAATGCAAGGCACAGATTAGAAGAAAATGCTCATGGCTGTGCCGCGTCTCCACAGGCAGTACTGGTGAAGGATGGCACATCAGCTGGGCTCCACCAAGGTCATGTCAGCCATGCTCACCACCTTGACTGTGCACTATGAATATTTGGGTGCTTAGATTTGGTTTGAATGAAAACCCAGGCAAATTCAACAAGTTTTGCATCACTAATCCTGCTAATCCCTCCTTCTCCATTCCTTTCATTCTGGGCCTTGCATCAGTGGTGCCTATGGGGACAAGGCAGTCTCATGCTGCTGCTCCAGCATTTGCTGTGGCTGAAGCATCCCTCAGCCCTTCTCAAACCCAGCAAAAGCCTCTCTTCCAACTGCTAAGAACCCATTTCCCAGGTTATTTTTTTTAAATTTATATTGTATATTAGTACTTCTTCATGCACCAGCATTGTCTTTTAGCACAGATGATTCATTTCTTTTCATCCACTGAAACATCCCCAAAACATTACTTAACCAAAAGCCAGCCAAAAAAGAAATGCATTTTTTTTTTTTTTGTGGAGGGAACCAGTTCTCCTACCAACAAAAAATATCAAGGCAAGCAGGTTCAATGTGCCTTTGTAAGACTGGATTGGACCTGGTCCTATTTTCATCCCATTATTCTTTCCTTCACAATTTGTCTAAAGCTTTGCAGACTGTGAAAAGCCACTCGCTGCCTGGATTGCTTTTCCTCCTCCTTTCATAAAGAGTACTGTTTGCCATTCTTTGGTTATAGGAACCACTCCTGAATAACATATCTGTTGGCAAAGTCTTTTCACAGATTTATTTTTTTTTTTCCTGCCATCTCCTGCCCTTTCAGGGCCTATGTGCACAAGCTCTCCCATTTCCTACACTAAAGTCTACTTCAAACCTGAATTGTTTTTTTTCCACATAGTTGAGCACTCTTTAGCCATCCCTGCACTTCCCACCCCTCGTAGCACCATTCTTGCCACTATAGATGAGGAAAACGCATGTGACCCCAATGATCTCTGCCTGTCCATGCTCACATGAGATGCAAGCACCAGGATGGTCTCTCCCAATCACAAACATGGGGATTTTTACCTCTGAAACACACAACACAAAGTCAGAGGGCCATTCCTCAACCGCCATCCCATCACCTCCAGTTCCTTACAGCCCATTTTCCCAATCCCCCTCCCCCCAAGACCCCACTTCATGCAGCATTCAGCCCACCTCGGCACCAGGTGGCTTCGAGGAGATTGCACGGACTTCCACACTGAAAAAGGAGAGAGGGGGGAAAAAAAAAAATAGAAGAGAGCAACGAAACACAGCAGAAAGCACTATAAAAAGAGCTATGAAGAGACTAATGACACTGTTTAAACAAAGTTGCCTCCTGCGATAGTGCTAAATCCTTTTTATGACCTTTCAGCCTTCTAGAACAGTGTATAAGACAGTTTCCTATTTGCTGCGCTCACTGACAGTCAGTAACTCCTCGCCTTGGTACCTGGAGTCTCATTACAGAACAAATAAGGCCCATTTTACTGTTTTCCTCCCTCTTATAAAGCATTTAACCATTTCCCTCCTGAGCTGATCCAGAGAAATCAGAGAGAAGGAAATGTTCTCCAAGAACACAGGAACTGCTGGGGGAGATGAAGCACATTCTGCATGTGATTTTTAAATGATGCTTTGATCACCAAAAGTAAAGAACAAGGAGACAGTTCTAACGATCTGAAAATACTTGAAAAGCTAATGTGGGGAGCAGCTTTGATACATGACACAGTGGCACAGTATTTATTTTGTGACCTTTAGCAAGTATGGGTGGTGCAACAACAAGCTAATTTAGTGGGAAAAAACACCACCAACAAAAGAAGGCAGAAAAAAATTGACCTAAGAGGTTCATGGCAGAGGGAGAGGAGGAGATACTAAGGCTGGAAGCACCTCTGTGCATGCATGCTGGGAACTGAGCCCTGCAAAGCAGCACAGGAGAAATGGGTGCTCTGCAGCTCCTGCAAACAGAGATTCTGGGATATCAGCAAAAGCCCCAAACTAGAGCACCTTTACAGCAGGCATTACAGCAACTACACCTTCATACAGATATGAGTTCAACAACAGCCTCTGGGGAGGTTTTGCAGCGACACCTCCAAAACCCCATGGCACAAGAGGATGGGAGGGACTGCAGACGTGGGTAGAGCCCCCAGGTGGGAAAAATCAGGGAAGAGAACTTGAAGGGATAGAAGGAGGCAATGACAATGTCTGGGAATTACATTTTCAAGAGATTTTTGAATACTTAGAGATAAGAAAGAGCAAAGATGTGCACGTGATTCTTTTAACACCCTATTGGCTGTTTGAAGCTGACCCATTCAGAGCTATGGAATTAACAAGTTTGTTTCACACCAGCAATCCATAAAAGGCCCCAAGAGCACAGACAAGGTCTTCATAGGGCCACATGAAGTTAGTTCCTGTCCCCTCAGCTGCACCCCAGCCATTTGCAAAGTTTTATTCTCGGAAGGAAAAAGCAAGAAATCATTCAATTTGCAATGCCTGTTCCAGCTTGAAACCTGCAAGGAGAGCACTTGCTATGTGCCATAAAGCCACTGAGAGCAAAAACTGCCCCATGGGAGAAAGAAAATTTCCCAAACAGACCACCAAGGCCTTGGAAAATCAGTCTGAGCAAGTGGCTGGAAACTGCCAATTCCTGGCCAAAATCTCTAACCAGTTAATGGCCCATGTGAAAGAAAAAAACCAGCATGATAAACAACTCACAGAAGGACAGTGCCCATCAACTAATTTGTACATGATGAATAATTCAGCCACATCTATTAAAAAGGCTTCAGCTAACTGAAAACACACCGAGATGATGATGCGGGGATAGGGAGGAGAGCGGCCATCCCGAGATCCTGCTCTGCATCAGCTGAATCCAGTGGCTGAAAGCTGAGGAGAGATGGTGGAGAGAGCAAGGCAGGAGATGGGAGCAAAAGGAGTTCCTGCTGTCCCTAAGAGCATCCTCCAACTGATGGCATGGAACATTTCCACACTTACTTTCTTTTACAATCATGATGTGCTGACAGTGACCCTGAGATTGGATGGGCTCCTTCCCAACCTCTTCCACAAGGCCTTTATTGAGGAGGATGAAGCCAGAACGTATTTGAATCACCAGGACCTCTGGAAGTCAGATCTCACATTTCCTTGCAGAACATCCACAATACACAGCAAGCAACAGAGGCAATTGGCTTCACTCATCCAAACTTTGTGTTTATGTAACTTCAGGAAAAGCTCTGGTCTTCCTAAGCAAAGCTTCACTTCAGCCTACTATAAGCAAGTTTGCTTTTTCTTCTTTCTGAGGGCTCAGCATTTCTCAAAAAGAGGTTTTCAACCTGAAATGGGGTCACAAAACCTTTTCAGTGGGGTTACCAGCTCTGGGCAACCTTGTGTTTATTCCCAATAATCTGCAAGGCTGAGTTCAGGGAGGCATTTTTGGTGTTGTAGCAGGACAGTCCAGCATAATTTAATTTAAATTTATCTTTGTTAGTTGGAAAATTGGTCTGCCTCCTCTTCTGGTCAGTGTTATCGCTTGGCCAGGGCTGGTAGGAAATATCTGCTAAGCACTGTGCCAGAAGTAAAGGAAAAAAAATCTGATCATAGATAAGTGTGGGATAGCAGTGGGAGGAAGAGGGGGTCAAATGAGACAAAATTGTTTCCTGACCCTAAGAAATAGGGTGAGAGACCTACAGGCTGGCCCCAGCTTCTAACACACACTGTGCGTACGAGTGTGTAGGTCCTGGCCAAAATCATTTCTTTTTCAGGTGACCAGAGCACAGAGAAGAAGAGATGCAGAGTCAGACCCACTTACCCAAACCAACAGAAACTTTGTGCTGTTAGCTGTGGCTTGGGAGCTCCCCAGTCCTTCCCTTCACACTGCTATGACCAGAAGTATCCCTGGCAATGTCATTCACATGGGATGCACTCTGCTCCACTTTAGGGCTCCTTTCCATTGTCACTGTGATCTGAAAGAGCATTAGTAGGACAGTGACAGTAGTCTCATACATATTAAATACGCCAAGGGTGAAATGCTTAATAAACCATCACATTTGGAGCCTTCTTTCCTTCTCGTTGGTCATGTCTGTCTTGACTTATTCCTCCTCTGTAGAGGAAGTGGCAGGATTTAATAGCCTTTTATTAGCATGTCAGCTTTTAAAATGACCAAAGCCTTATTCATAGCGTAGGTTATAAAAGATAAAAAAAAAAAAAAAAAAAAGGAAATGCAGCACATTCAGGAGAAATCCTTCTCATTCCAGCCAGCGAAAGAGTCGAAATAAATGCGCCTGGCCCCTTTCTGTCACATTTGAAGAGGAGCTGTCACACTTTCTCTCCCCAAGTCAATCTCGTTTTTCCTTCTTTCCATGCTTCATGCCTGACCACTCCGCAAAGCATCTTGCTCAGGGAGTTTGGGATCTCATATCCCAGCATGAGAAAGGCAGCGGCACCACCAGCTGTAAGGCAGCAGAAGGGATCCAGGTGCAAAGTCGTCCCACAACACTTCTGCTAAGTTAAGATCTCCTCCACCTTCACCCATTTTACTTCCCATTTCATTGGGATAACTATACCCAAAAAGAGGTTCATTTTCTAGATTTTGGTTAGTTTGGTTTTTTTTTCCTTTCAAATCATCAAAAGCACTCCTATCTCCATTCTTTTTGTCATCTGCACCTGAAGAGCTGACTTGCAAGTAAAGAGGGATGTCGTTCCTTCAATAAACCACAACTTCACAGCCTGAGGTTAATAAGAGAGAACAGGAACCCAACAGTCCCAAAGGTTACCCACCCCAAGCCACATTTCAAAAAAGCCCTCCTAGAATTCACTTTTTTCCTTTCCATCCTGGAGTTACACAGCAATAAGGGCTCTTATTTAATATCCAGGCCCACAGCTCAGCCTGACAAAGGCTGACCCCAGCATCCGAATTCAATCTCTGTCCTCCACAGCACCAGCACGTTTCTGAAATGAATCTCATATCAAGCATACAAATATGTTTGTCCTAAACAGACAGTCCATAAAATGACATTTATGCCATATAAAGATAAGAGCGTTTCTTCTCATGCTTACATGGAAGGATTAGGCAACTTCATCCTTCTTTCTCCCCAAGTTTAGTTTTCTGACCAATCTCACATCTTAATCTACACCTTTCAGATTTTGGGGTTCTGCCTTCAGTTGAAAAGCAGCATCTGCTCACTGGCTGACTTGAATGGGAAAAGCCAGAAGAAAACCTTTTCCCATCCCAGTCCAGACACAAGAAGTTCCCCAATACATCCATATTCCAATGGGCTCTTTAAGAACAGACCTGAAACTTGGAGGCACACCCTTCATTACTAACTACACTGTCCTAAGAATTTTATTACCTTTAATTGGCTCATGGTTGCACTGAAAACGTGGAGCTGACTCCACTCTGATCCATACAAGCACAGCCTTTAGGTTTCAACTGGAAGCAGGTTTTCACCCCAGAGCCTCTTAGAAGCAAAATCTTATTTAGGTCAGAAGTGACATTTTCCTTTCTGAAATAGTAGGCCAAACGCCAATGAAACTGGAGCACATTAGTTGGAGCAGCCCAGGGATTTACTTTACAATACTGTGTTGTACACCCATGTGAACATGGGGGGGGGAAGAAAAAAAGCAATCCACTGTGTTGAACTTCTGACAGCTTATTCACTGGCACTGGTTGAACAGCAGAGTTTCCACCCCAGAGAAAATCCAAAATCCATGTTACTGTTAGACAAAATCCCCTTCAGTTCCATTTGGAACAAAGCCCCACACCAAGACTTCATCAAAAGTCCCAATCCAGAGACAATGCACGCTTGCTCTTCAGCTATCAGAATACATATGAGAAAACTTTATGGAGTCCAAATGAAGAGCTCAGCTTCAGAAAATTGCATTTCAGTACAAATCTGCATGAAAGGACAAGAACTGTGAGTGATTAATGGCAGCACAGTGCTGGGATCCTGACGTTTTAGCAGCTACCTGAACGCATACAGCCCCAATAGGTGCTACCCCAATGATTCCAGACATCCCCACACAAATCCTGGGGCCAACAAACTGATAAACTCTACGCTCCAAATTCTCCCAATAAAATGCTCCAAAAGCAGGTTAACTTGCATAGCAGAAACCATCAAGCTCCTGCCTAAACCAAAACTACAGACAACAACTTATCAATCTTTATTGATTGAAGCTTTATTGGCACAGACTGATTGCAGGCTTCTTCCCTACAGAATCTTGCATCAATAGCTTAATTGCCTTCTTGCCTTGTCTTCTGGTTAAATTCACTGGTGAACCCTGCAGACAAGGGATGAGTTACACCTCCACTGATGGACTCAGAAGTGTCCCTGATTCACCTGTGAAGGCAGTGGGCTCAGGGAGGTGTGCCATGGGGACAGCCATCCTTGCAGCACCAAGGGAGTTGTCCCTCCATCCTTATTACATGGGAAAGGAGGGAGCAGGAGGACACAAGGACGTGCCTGAAGATGAGCTGACAGGCAGCACATCATTGATACAGATGTTTCCCCACAAGAGTTTATCACAGCTTTTTGGCTGTCTTTTCTTCCCTAGCCAACCCTTGCACTTGCAAGCAGCCTGGCACCATCTGATCTGCACTTGTTCTCCAGTAATGATATTTAACTATTGATCACTGTCACCAATAGCTTGTTTCCTACTTTTGACCTACCTAAAGTAATTGTTTCCTGCAACTCAACTGTAGCAGCTTTGAGGGGGCTTTGTAAGCCACCCCCTGGGTCCTCTGTTAAGACAGTTCTTGCCAGATGAGACAACTGGCTTCAGATGTGTCATTAATCCCATAAATAAGATGACCCCATTAGACAACTCCTGCCATGCCTTTGTAATTTGTTAGAAGGCAGCAATACTTTTGTGCCTCTCTGCTAAGTATTAATCTCCTGGAGAGACCAGGAAAGCTATTTTAAGTGTGACCTGCAAAGTAAAGACATTCTTTTGAGTCCTTTTGTTCCTTAGATCCAGAGAAGAGGTAAGGAACTGGGCTGTCTGTGTTTCCTACTTGCAGCTAATGGAGGACAGGAGATTTATGGTACTCGAGGATATAGATTTCGATTCCTGGAAGACTGCATGAAGGATGAGAGAAGGTAGATTTACAATTTCCAGTTATCAGGGAATTGTAACTTATTAGCAGTCAATCACAAAGTTAAATGACAAAAGAGATTTCTGTCTGACTTAGAGAATATTTGTACAGCATTAGGGAAGAAGGGGGTGTAGGAACCACCAAAGAGTTCTAATATCTAAGGTTAAAAACAAGGCAGAGGAAAAAATAATGACAATCCAAAGCAATACCTCACAAATCAGCATTTCTTGGGTGGACCAGGTTTGACAAGCAGAGACATTTCATTGATCACACTTCCCAAAAGATCCTAATGACAACATGCCCTTATAGCTCCCAGCCCAGGGCAATGCAAACAGGGATCCCAAGTTGCAGCCTGGGTGTCATAAGTGATCCCATAGATGCTTCAGAGAGACTCACAGCCCAGCACACATCATTGCCTTTGATGTGGATGCAGATGTGTATCCACCAAGCAGTGCAGAAATGGTTTCATCCTTGTATTTACTCCATTGCAATGCTATGGGTGCCATGCATTAACAGCAGCTTCAGTAGTGCTGGTGAGGCTCCAAGCAGCTGCTGTTGAGCCATGGCATGATAAAGTCTGTAGAACCAGAGACTTGAACTGCTCTGGACAATAAGGACAACCAAGAACAAACCACAAAGTTGCTTTCTTTTGAAGATCACCATCAGAGATACTTCTAGCCATCCCTGTGGGGAGCAGAAGAAGGGTTTTCAGCATGAAAGAAGCTTAGCTGCCCATCCGAGATGAGGTTTTTCTTAGACAAGAGACACCTACTTGTCTGTGTGTCACCTCACTTGTATTTAAACCCTGTTCAGAGGGCATTTTATTTCAAGAGGGTTTAAACTCACATACTGCACCAGAGAGTATTTCATCCTTGAAATACTCCTCCAGACAGGAAAGTTTTCTCACCAAAGGTTACAAGAAACCAGCTTCTGACATTTAATCATGGTGATTTGCTTCAGCAGGCTTGTATAAAGTACCACTCAGCATAAATAAAGACATCAATCTGGCTGGAATTTCCCAACTGCTCCAATTTCACAGGGCTAAGGATGAGTAATGCTCTGGTCTTGACTCCAGCTGGAGCATCTTGTGGATGAGGTGGTCCCCACAGTGAATTTGGGGCTTCAAGAGAACCTCCAATTCCTCCTAAAGCAAACAAGGGGCAAAGGTCTTCTTCATGCTTCTGTCACACTGTGCGAGGTCAGCACTCAGTGCTCTCATCTGTGACAGCACAGAAGCGAGCAGTGCTGGCCATGCCCAGCCCTAAATCAAAGCTGTTGACTTAGGGCTGCTGTTTACAATGAGAAAAACTGTGGCAGAGGGGTAACATGACTACAAGAGCATCCCAGGGGATTCTGGGCTGGCAGAACAAAATGACATATGTAAATCCATTTCACTGGCAGAGACCTCACTATTTGAATAAGTTTAATATTAAACTGACTCAAACATTGGAACAAGACAATTATCAAGGCACATGCTCAGACCCACAGGGCATGATGTACCTTCAGCTGCGTTGTCAGGGTTTCTTAGTTCATTGTGGCTTTGAAAATTGCTCTGAAGGATGCTGCTTACCTTAAAAACACCCTGGAATGGACACAAACAGCAGGCAGGATCAGCCTGCTGGCATAATAAGCTTTGGTTTCCTCATGAGTGATGCGATCCCTACTTTTCCCAGTCACGAGGCTCCATCCGCCTCTATTTAAGAGCATTCACTGTTTCAGAATTTTCTTTGCATAAAAACTGTGAAGACCACAGAGAGGCAGAACACAAAACCACTCACTGTAGTTTTACTGCAGAGCCAGGGGTTTAAAGCATTTACAGGCCACTGCCCACAAAAAGGCATCAGTAGAAGGTCACAAGCAGCACTGCTGGGG